ATTCTATAAATAGTACACGTTCTGTCGTCGTACTTTTTGGCCTTAAAAAAATTAGTCTTTAAATAATACACGTTCTGTTTGCCCTTCCATAAAACTTTCTTCAATAAATTCACGTTATTTCCCCCTTGATATATATCTTAATAAATTCTCATTCTGTGGCCTCTACATAAATTCTCTTAAACCAATACAGATTCATTAGGCCCCGAAAAGCTTTTTTATAACAAATCCCTGTTCTATAGTTTCCTTAAAATTGCCTTTAAAAATCCTCATTCTGGATAAACAAGTCAACGTTTTGAAGACGTCTGGAAAATATTATTTAATAAGTCTAATCTCTATAGGTCCCTGGAAAAATATTCTTCCACAAATCCGCAGTCTGTAGAACATTGAAAAAAATATTCTCTACCATACCCATTTTCTGTAAAGCGCTGGAAAAATATTTTCAAAAAAATAAAAATTCTTTGGTTGCTGAAAAATGTCTCTGCTGCTCCTTGAACAATTGCCCAAAAATTAGCCTGTGGTCCTTGAACAATTTTATTTGTGTACTCAATTATTTTTTACGAAGAATTTTAGTGCTTATCATTGATATTTGAAAAATAAAATTTTCAATAATCATTGTTTTAACCCACAAAATGATATTTTTAATTTGGGTGCCTGGATGCGTATGATTATTTTTAATTCTGACTAATTTTAATAAAATTGCAATATCTCCTAAACTATTCAAGGTTTCTAAGATTTTTAAACGAAATATGCATTTTAAGATCCCAGCCGTCGCATTAATAATATAAATCCCTAATTTTTCCAACGAATTTAGCTCCTTTTTGGTTGCTGAAAATTGTGGCTTGATAATTAGCCGGATGGCCTTTTTTTCTTTTTTTTTTGTGAATTTAATTTTTTTCCAAAAATCTTTGCTATTTACCTTTTTAATTCCGAAAAAGAAAATTATTATCTTTATTTTGTATTTCATAAAATAAGATTTTTCATTTGGGTACCAGGGAGCGTATGATTATTATTAACTCTGGCAAATTTTGTTAAAATTGGCATATCTTCCAAACAATCAAAGATTTTTACGAATTTAGGAACGAAAGTACGAAATATGAAATTTAACATTCAAAGGCTCACATTAAATAATATAAAACCCTAATTTCCCCAACGTCATCGTCGTAGCTCCCATTTGGCGATTGATTGATTTTGATAGTACTTAGGTATAATATGTACAGGCCTCTCCGGCCCTCGAAAAATATTATTTATATATTTAAATATATTCTACAAAAAATTCTCTTCTTTCACATGAATATTTAAAAATGAATATCCTTATCATTCATTTTGAAGGCTTTAATTTGGGATTTTAGTTTGGGTACTAGGGTGCGTATGATTATTTTTAATTCTGAGCTATTTTGGTAAAATTGCAATATCTCCCTAACTGTCAAAGATTTTTACGAATTTCAAAAAGATTATGAATTCCCAGATCCAAGCCCTTGTCTTAAATAATATTAGACTTTTGAACCCCAAGATTTCAGTTCAAAAAGTCCCGGAAAAATGTCTTAAAAATTAACTCGTTTAACAACTAGGAACAGCTAATATATTTTTAATCTTTATATTTCTTCAAGTCCATGAAAATATTTTTATGCCAGATCTTTCAGTCCCTCAAAACGATGACGAATATGTTTCTTGTCCTATTTTGCCCTTCACATGATGCTGTTACGAATCCAAAAATATCCCAACAAAGCCTTGTATGCTGCTGTACACTGAGTAGCGCTCAAATACAGCGAAATCCTTTAAAGTCGAATTAAACCGAAACACAATAGCAATGCAACAACTTGTGTATCAACGAAAAATCTGCGAGAACTACAACTGAATGCGGCAAGGGTTTTTTTGTGCTGTTGTTTAGAAAGAAAAAACATTTGAGGGTAGTAAAGAAAATTTTGGGAAATAACACTTCAAGAACATTTTTGAAAATAAAAAATTGTATCTTTGGAAATGGTATAATAAATGGAATTTCCTAAGATATATCGTACTTCAAGTACCAATAGAGGGTGGTGTATAATTGATATTAATATTTTAATTTGGGACGTATAAGTTTTGACAGTGATCATACGCCCTCTTGCCTCATCACAGAATAGGCTCAATCTTTCTCTAGCCAAATTTATGCCATTCTTGGCAAAATTTTTTCCTAGGAAATTTTCAGACCCTCCTCGTTGTTTTAATTGGAAAAACCATTATAAACATATGTCATAACGAACGAAAATTGTGCTGTAATATTAAGTTCACAATGCATACTAATTATGAGTCGCATGGCATGAATGCACACGTCTAGGTATATATACAAATGTTTACACATATATGTGTCAGTGTGCAAGGATTTCTTTATAGAGCAAAGCTCTAGAAGTGACAATAATGAATATTGGGATGTGACCAAAAGAACTCAAAAAAAATGGATTTTTTCTAAAAATTATTTTTTCATTCTGAAAACAAATGGGGATTTTCAAAAATTATTTTTTCAGAGAAACAACACATGTGGATTTTTTAAAAATTATTTTTTAAAGAGTTTATCAACGTGGATTTTTTAAAAAATTATTTTTTCAAAGAATTAATCCACGCGGCTTTTTTAAAAATTATTTTTTCAAAGAATTAATCCACGTGGCATTTTTAAAAATTATCTTTTCAAAGAATTCATCAACTTGGATTTTTTAAAAATTATTTTTTCAAAGAATTCATAAACGTGGATTTTTTAAAAATTATTTTTTCAAAGAATCCCCAAACGTGGATTTTTTAAAAATTATATTTTCAAAGAATTCATCAACGTGGATTTTTTAAAAATTATTTTTTCAAAGAATTCATCAACGTTGATTTTTTAAAAACTATTTTTTCAAAGAATTCATCAACGTGGATTTTTTAAAAATTATTTTTTCAAAGAATTCATCAACGTGGATTTTTTAAAAATTATTTTTTCAAAAAATTCATCAACGTGGATTTTTTAAAAATTATTTTTTCAAAAAATTCATCAACGTGGATTTTTTAAAAATTATTTTTTCAAAGAATTAATTAACGTGGATTTTTTAAAAATTATTTTTTCAAAGAATCCACAAACGTGGATTTTTTAAAAATTATTTTTTCAAAGAATCCCCAATCGTGGATTTTTTAAAAATTATTTTTTGGAAGGACAATTGGCGTGGATTTTTTAAAAATTATTTTTTCAACGAATTAATTAACGTGGATTTTTTAAAAATTATTTTTTCAATTAATTGACAAACGTGGATTTTTTTAAAATTATTTTTTCAATTAATTGACAAACGTGGATTTTTTTTAACTTATTTTTTCAACGAATTAATTAACGTGGATTTTTTAAAAATTAATTTTTCAATTAATTGACAAACGTGGATTTTTTTAAAATTATTTTTTCAATAAATTGACAAACGTGGATTTTTTTTAAATTATTTTTTCAATTAATTGACAAACGTGGATTTTTTAAAAATTATTTTTTCAATTAATTGACAAACGTGGATTTTTTTAAAATTATTTTTTCAATTAATTGACAAACGTGGATTTTTTTAAAATTATTTTTTCAATTAATTGACAAACGTGGATTTTTTTAAAATTATGTTTTCAATTAATTGACAAACGTGGATTTTTTTAAAATTATTTTTTCAATTAATTGACAAACGTGACTTTTTTTAAAATTATTTTTTCAATTAATTGACAAACGTGGATTTTTTTTAAATTATTTTTTCAATTAATTGACAAACGTGGATTTTTTTAAAATTATTTTTTCAACGAATTAATTAACGTGGATTTTTTAAAAATTAATTTTTCAATTAATTGACAAACGTGGATTTTTTTAAAATTATTTTTTCAATTAATTGACAAACGTGGATTTTTTTAAAATTATTTTTTCAATAAATTGACAAACGTGGATTTTTTTTAAATTATTTTTTCAATTAATTGACAAACGTGGATTTTTTAAAAATTATTTTTTCAATTAATTGACAAACGTGGATTTTTTTAAAATTATTTTTTCAATTAATTGACAGACGTGGATTTTTTAAAATTATTTTTTCAATTAATTGACAAACGTGGATTTTTTTAAAATTATTTTTTCAATTAATTGACAAACGTGGATTTTTTTAAAATTATTTTTTCAATTAATTGACAAACGTGGATTTTTTTTAAATTATTTTTTTCAATTAATTGACAAACATGGATTTTTTTAAAATTATTTTTTCAATTAATTGACAAACGTGGATTTTTTTTTAAATTATTTTTTCAATTAATTGACAAACATGGATTTTTTTAAAATTATTTTTTCAATTAATTGACAAACGTGGATTTTTTTAAAATTATTTTTTCAATTAATTGACAAACGTGTATTTTTTTAAAATTATTTTTTCAATTAATTGACAAACGTGTATTTTTTTTAAATTATTTTTTCAATTAATTGACAAACGTGGATTTTTTTAAAATTATTTTTTCAATTAATTGACAAACGTGGATTTTTTTAAGATTTTTTTTTCAATTAATTGACAAACGTGGATTTTTTTAAGATTATTTTTTCAATTAATTGACAAACGTGGATTTTTTTAAGATTTTTTTTTCAATTAATTGACAAACGTGGATTTTTTTAAGATTATTTTTTCAATTAATTGACAAGCGTGGATTTTTTTTAAATTATTTTTTTGAAGAATAATTCGACGTGGATTTCTTAAAACCAGCCATGACATCCCAATATCTTACCTCGAACTTTGACTATGTCAGTAGTATATAATAGTAGTACAACCACTCATATATACTTACCCTTCATCCAAGTGTGTTGTATGCATGCATACACACACAAACATACGTGTTTGTGTGTATGTGTTTGACTACAATGCACATTTGAAAATGGTGATTATTATTTTTCCAAGATTTTTCTTCTATTTTCGTTTATTAAAATTGCATTCTTTTCATTAAAAACCTCTCCCCCTCTCCTCTCCCCTCCCTTCCGACAACATTTACACAAAAATAGCTCCATTACAATAGTTTTATTATGTCAAACGAAATACTCTTTGCAAAATTCTTCTTAATTATTTGTATACATTTCGAAATTATTTTTGAATCCGGTAGGGTGGTTGGGCGTTCGTTAACAAATAGAAGACACCACGTCGCTTTGCCATTAGGGTTCTATTAAAATGGCTATAATGTGGAGCTATTTGCAGCTTTTGGCCCGTTTCATGGGGACATTTATGCTGTCGCAACATTTCCTGCCACATATCCTCGTCACAGCCGAAGCCCTCCAGTTTCTCCCGACTTAGAGCTTGAGAAAATATTTGAAAGGCCCGAAAATGGCTACATTCCTTGAGATAACAGCCGGGCTGATGTGACCCGAAGTTGACATAAAAATCCACATGACCCAGGGGACGATCATAGCCATAGGACCCAACACTGGTGTGTAAAACCTCCACATATTCGGCATCGCTGCGATCCACGCGTTCCTCTTGATTTTCATAGCGAAATAGAGGCAAGGCTGGATCCAAGGCATAAATGGCCGTTAGCCGTCCTGTTTGGAGGAATTTTCCTGCAATCCCAGCCACATGGGCACCCATACTGAAACCAATCACCTGCAAGTCCTCAAAACGCATTCCTGATTCTTGATGTAAAAAGTCGATAAATTTTGCCAGGACTTTCCCCACCGGCTTCACGCGATAACTGGCGGTGATATAATCGGCAATGGCACCTTTGCCCCAGTCCACGGTTATTATATTATGCCTTGCATTGGGAGCTGCGAGCAGTTCGGGTATCAGGGTGTTATACAGGCCAGCTGTGGAACCACCCAGCCAGCCGTGGATGAGGATTCTGGAAAAAGATATATTTTTTTTAAATTATTAAAAAAAAAATTAAAAATATTTTTTTAAGGAAAGCATCTTAAAAATTTTTTTAAAACTGATTTTTTCAAAGAACTAACAAACGTGGATTTTTTAAAAAATATTTTTCAAGTCCTTGACAAACGTGGATTTTATACAAATTATTTTTCCAAGTCCTTGACAAACGCGGATTTTTTAAAAATTATTTTTTCAAGTACTTGACAAACGTAGATTTTTTAAAAAATATTTTTCCAAGTCCTTGAGAAACGTGGATTTTTTTTAAATTCTTTTTTCAAGACCTTGACAATCGTGGATTTTTTAAAAATTATTTTTTAAAGTCCTTGACAAACGTGGATTTTTAAAAAATTATTTTTTAAAGTTAGCCTAAGGCCTGGATTTTTTAAAAATTATTTTTTCAAGTCCTTGGTAAACGTGGATTTTTTAAAAATTATTTTTTAAAGTCCTTGACAAACGTGGATTTTTTAAAAATTATTTTTTAAAGTCCTTGACAAACGTGGATTTTTTAAAAATTATTTTTCCATGCAATTAACAAACGTGGATTTTTTAAAAATTATTTTTCCAAGTCCTTGACAAACGTGGATTTTTTAAAAATTATTTTTCCAAGTCCTTGACAAACGTGGATTTTTTAAAAATTATTTTTCCAAGTCCTTGACAAACGTGGATTTTTTAAAAATTATTTTTCCAAGTCCTTGACAAACGTGGATTTTTTAAAAATTATTTTTCCAAGTCCTTGACAAACGTGGATTTTTTAAAAATTATTTTTCCAAGTCCTTGACAAACGTGGATTTTTTAAAAATTATTTTTCCAAGTCCTTGACAAACGTGGATTTTTTAAAAATTATTTTTCCAAGTCCTTGACAAACGTGGATTTTTTAAAAATTATTTTTCCAAGTCCTTGACAAACGTGGATTTTTTAAAAATTATTTTTCCAAGTCCTTGACAAACGTGGATTTTTTAAAAATTATTTTTCCAAGTCCTTGACAAACGTGGATTTTTAAAAAATTATTTTTCCATGGAATTAGCAAACGAGGATTTTTTAAAAAAAATTTTTCAAGTCCTTGACAAATGTGGATTTTTTAAAAATTATTTTTCCATGCAATCAACAAACGTGGATTTTTTAAAAATTATTTTTCCATGCAATCAACAAACGTGGATTTTTTAAAAATTATTTTTCCATGCAATCAACAAACGTGGATTTTTTAAAAATTATTTTTCCACGAAAATATCAGACGTGGATTTTTTAAAAATTTTTTTTCCACGAAAATATCAAACGTGGATTTTTTAAAAATTATTTTTCCATGCAATTAACAAACGTGGATTTTTTAAAAATTATTTTTCCACGAAAATAACAAACGTGGATTTTTTAAAAATTATTTTTCCACGAAAATAACAAACGTGGATTTTTTAAAAATTATTTTTCCACGAAAATAACAAACGTGGATTTTTTAAAAATTATTTTTCCACGAAAATAACAAACGTGGATTTTTTAAAAATTATTTTTCCACGAAAATAACAAACGTGGATTTTTTAAAAATTATTTTTCCACGAAAATAACAAACGTGGATTTTTTAAAAATTATTTTTCCACGAAAATAACAAACGTGGATTTTTTAAAAATTATTTTTCCACGAAAATAACAAACGTGGATTTTTTAAAAATTATTTTTCCACGAAAATAACAAACGTGGATTTTTTAAAAATTATTTTTCCACGAAAATAACAAACGTGGATTTTTTAAAAATTATTTTTCCACGAAAATAACAAACGTGGATTTTTTAAAAATTATTTTTCCACGAAAATAACAAACGTGGATTTTTTAAAAATTATTTTTCTATGGAATTAGGAACCGTGGATTTTTTAAAAATTATTTTTCCATGGAATTAGAAAACGTGGATTTTTTAAAAATTATTTTTCCATGGAATTAGAAAACGTGGATTTTTTAAAAATTATTTTTCCATGGAATTAGAAAACGTGGATTTTTTAAAAATTATTTTTCCATGGAATTAGAAAACGTGGATTTTTTAAAAATTATTTTTCCATGGAATTAGAAAACGTGGATTTTTTAAAAAGTATTTTTTCCAGTTGCCCGTAATCCTAGATTATTTTTTTCATGGATTTAGCTAGAGTGGATTTTTTGAAAATTATTTTTCGAGGGATTTAGCAGAAGTGGATTTTTTAAAAATTATTTTTCCATGAAAATAACAAACGTGGATTTTTTAAAAATTATTTTTCCATGAAAATAACAAACGTGGATTTTTTAAAAATTATTTTTCCATAGAATTAGCAAACGTGGATTTTTTAAAAATTATTTTTCCATGGAATTAGCAAACGTGGATTTTTAAAACATTATTTTTCCATGGATTTAGCAAAAGTGGATTTTTTTAAAAATTATTTTTCCATGGATTTAGCAAAAGTGGATTTTTTTAAAATTATTTTTACATGGATTTAGCATAAATTAGATTTTTTAAAAATTATTTTTCTATGGAATTAACAAACGTGGATTTTTTAAAAATTATTTTTCCAAGTCCTTGACAAACGTGGATTTTTTAAAAATTATTTTTCCATGGAATTAGCAAACGTGGATTTTTTAAAAAATTAATTTTTCCGGTTACCCCTAATCCTAGAAAATTTTAAAATTTAAATCCCACCAGCATGTGAAACTGTGTCAAATATCCTTCCTTCCTTTTTCTGCTGTTTTGTACCAAATCATGCATGTCACCACTTCCAACCATGCAACAAATTCCTTAGATATCCTTGCCATACCAAAGAGACCCTGACGAAATTAAATTCCCTCCAAATTTGTAACTAAACCAAGACGGAAAAATGCTGGTCACCCCCTCTCCTCATCAATTTTCTGAGCCCCTCCTTTTTCCTCCCCCCTCCCGCCATTCAATACGAAATCATTCATCCTAACTCACCTCGTTGGCTGGAATGGATTAAACCTTGATTGTCTTAATGCCCGTGCATTATACAATTGCAACGGTTCCGAATGTATGCCAGGGATGCTGTCAGCAACAGGACGAGTGCTAACGCCAAATACACTGCTAATTGTGTCAGTGACAACATTAAGGACTCGTTGTCGTTCCCGTTCATTTGATGGTGTCTGTGACAGAGTATCGGAGCTGCTGGTAGTGGTGGTGTTGTTCTTTGGGGCACTTAAACTATGTCGGGACTTTTCTCCAGTGCCACTTTCAGGTATTTCGTTCTTTGTCTTTTTCTTTTTGTTGTTCGAAAGGATATGTTGTGGCTTAGTGGTTCTCACGTTGTAATTGTTGTTGTTGTTGCTATTGCTATTTGTTGTATACAAATAGAATTCTGTGTGATAGTCAGCATTGAAGAAAAAACGATAATCAACTGTCGGTTGGGGCTGCTGCTGCAGCTGATGGAGATGATGATCACTACCCAAGGAGGCACTAAATGCAGTTGTTTGTTGTTGTGGTAATTGTCCTGCCAGAGAGGCTGGAGAAATAAGTACTTGTACTTGTTGTTGTTGTTGCTGTTGTTCATTTTGCTGAAATTGTGGCAATTGTCCAAATGACAGGGGAGGCAAGCCATTGCCATTATAGAATTTCAGATATTTCAATTGTTGCCCATTCTTGTTGTTGTTGTTGCTGGCATTTTCATTATTTGTTGTTGTCCTTGTCTCATCTACCGCAACATTTGTCCAGCTTCTCATCAAATCATTGCCAAAATGTTGACGATGATACATTTCAAATGATTGCAAGAAACCACCAGATTGACCAGCATCAGCAGTAGCCATGGCACTTTGAAACATTTTGTCCTCCTCCCCATCCCCAACCTCCTCCTCCTTCTTTGCCTCTACCTCATCAAATCTACCACGATTGATTTGAGAACTCTTTAATTTATTTAATTTCCTTGAATGTTCATTAATGGATTTGAATTCTGCGGCCGATGATGGATAATGGCTGGGGATTTGATTGCTACTCCCCGCATTGCTCTCTACCCCTGCCTCCGCTGCCGCTGCTGTTGCTGGTGGTTTCTGTTGCATTGACCACCATTGTTGTTGTTGATTAGTAAACCATAATGTTTGTAACAAAGCAGGTCCTTCGTTACGCTCAGTGGTTATGGGGCTCAATGCGACAGATGGTTGTGGTGGCGGCTGCTGCAAGAGTGGGTCTTTATTAGGAGACAACATCTCATCATGGCTAATGATAATTGGGTCGCCATCATCGGCCTTAAGTGATTGTTGCTTATTCTTGTCATTGATAGCTTTAATATTGAGATTGAGAGATCTCCAATTGTTATAGTCGTTTATAGGGGAGTCATTTTCGTGGAACTCTGCCTGAGCAAAAAATAATAAAAAGAAAACTGAAAAAGAAAATAAAATTGTTTTATTTTTGATTGAAGAAATAAAAGCTTAAAATTAACAAAAAAATAATTAAATTTAAAATTAAATTAAATTAACACTATCTCCCTCTTCTAATAACAATTTATTTCATGAAGATATCTGCATTAGTTCAAAAGTTATGGCCCGAGGAAATATTTACGGAAAATACATTAAAAGTATTTAAATTTAGAAACTTGAATCTTTTGCTGCATAACTCCGGTATTTTAGTAGCTACATCAATATTTTTAAAAGGAAATTTAACCTCTAGGAGGTTCTCTTTCAGAATCAATTTATTACATGATAATATTCTATTTATTTTAAAAGTTATGGCCTATAGAGGCCGCCTCTCAAAAAATGGGTAAAATTTTAAATTTTTGAGTAAGTGTAAATTTTTTGCGATATCTTCAGTATTTTAACAGCTACATCTATATAGTTAAATAAAGCTTAAAGCTGTAGAGTGTCCTCTTCCAAAATCAATTTATTTCATGAAAATATATTACATACTTGGAAAGTTATGGGCTCTAGATGGCGCCTCTCAAAAAGTAGAGACGGTTTTCAAATTTTCAGCACATGTAAAATTATCCCGGTATCTTCGGTATTTAAGTAGCTATATCAATATAATTAAAGAAAACTTTAAGCTTTAGATAGCCCTCTTTTAAAATCAAGTTATTTCATGAAAATATATAACATACTCAAAAAGTTATGGCCTCAAAAAAACACCACTCAAACAAAGGGTAAGATTTTAAAATTTTGCGTATGTGTACAATTTTCCCGATATCTTCAGTATTTTAGTAGCTACTTCAAGGTAATTAAAGAAAACTTCGAGCCTTAGATGTTCTCCTTACAAAATCAAGTTATTTCAAGAAAATATATTATATACTTCACAAGTTATGGCTTCTAGAAAACATCACCCAAATAATGGGTTAGATTTTAAAATTTTGAGTACGTGAAATTTTTTACCGATATCTCCTGTACTTAAGTAGCTACATCAATATAGCTAAATAAAACTTGAAGCACAAAGTTGTCCTCTTTCGAAATCTAGTGATTTCATAAAAATATAATATGTGCTTGACAAGTTATGGCCTCTAGAAATTATCACCCAAATAATGGACAAGATATAACAATTCTGAGTACGTGTTACTTTACCCGATATCTCCGGCAATTAAGTAGTTGCATCAATAAAGTTAGAGAAAATTTTAAGGTCTGCATTGTCCTCTTTCAAAATCAATTCGTTTTATAAAAAAATATATTATATACTTAAAAAGTTATGGCCTCTAGAAAATATCACCCAAATAATGGGCAAGATTTTAAAAATCGGAGTACGTATTACGTTTCCCGATATCTCCGGCACTTAAGTAGTTACATCAACATATTTAAAAAAAAAATTTAAGCTCTGGATTGTCCTTTTTCAAAATCAAGTTATTTGATAAAAATATATTATATATTTTAAAAGTTATGGCCTCTAGAGGGCGCCTCTCAAAACAAGGGCAAAGTTTTTAACATTTGAGTACATGTACATTTTTCCCCTTATCTCACACATTTCTTCAGTTACCTCAATATCGTTGAAACGCCAAGAGATACTTCGAAAATCACAATGGTACATATTAGCTCCTCCTCCGTCGAAAATAATGAATTTTGCTGGATATACCAAGTATTTTAAAACTTATAGTCACCCGAAAACGTTTTTGCGTTTGTCTCTATAGTCCGATATCTCTGGTATTTGAAGAGGTACTCCAAAATAACTGCTGAATAAATGAAGACAGTTCCATCGCTATCAAAATCACATAATTTTATAGAAATAGGCCCATTTAAACAAAAAAGTTCGCTAATGAACCTCTTACGAAAAAAGGATGCAATTGTGAAACTCCTGCATGCTTGAGCGTATGTATATTTTAATCCATATCTCAGATATTTAATGAGGTACTTCTGATAATATTCAAGATAAGTTCATCCTTAGTCTCATTATGATATACCAATAATTTTTAGAACTTATCGCCTCTAGATGGCGTTTACCGGAAATATAGCAAAATATAATGAATTTTAGCGTTAACATATTTTCTCCGATATCTCAGGTATTTATAAAGGCACATCAAGATCACTGCTGAGAATTTTGGAGATAGGTTCCCCCACTTTCAGAAAAATGTTATTTTATGAAGATATAATAACTATTGTAGAATTTATCGCCAATAGATGGCGCTTACGGATAATATGTTAAAATCCACTTAAATGTTTTAATATTTGCTCCTATACCTCAGGTGTTTGAAGAGATATATGGGAACCACTCCAAAAAATATTTAAGATAATTCGATCCTCTATGAAAATCACTTAGTTTATTAAGATACAACGGTAATTTCAAAACGTTGGCCCCCGAAAATGACTTTCGGACAATCTTTCGAAATTTAGAAATTTTGAGCATTCATATATTTTCATGCATAACTTTGGTATTTGAAGAGATACATCAAAATCGCTGCAGATAATAGTCAAGATAACTCCGTCCTTTTTCAAAAAATATATATTTCTTCTAAATATGACAAGTATTTCAAAAACTAGCGCTTCCGGAATAAGTTTACTTAAAATATATCATAATATTAAAATTTTGAGAAATTGTATTATATCCCAAATATCTTCAGTATTTGAAGAGATATATCAAAACCATTGCTGACAATATTGATGCTCGTTTCATCCGCTATCAAAATCCTTTTATTTCACGAAAATACATCAATTATTTCAAAACTTATCGCTTCCGGAAAACAATTACTCAAAATATATCGAAATTTGAATCTTTTAAGCATTTGCATAGTTTCTCCGATATCTCAGGTATATGAAGAGATTCATCAAAACACTTGTTCCCAATATTTAAGAGAAGCTCATCCTCTATCAGTATTTCTTTATCTAATTAAGATATATTAATTATTTCAAAACTTGTGGCCCTAAGAAAATACATAAGAAATAACAAAATCTGAAACACTTAAGCATTCAACATTTTTTCGGATATCTCAAGCTTTTGAAGAGGCTTGCAAACCACTGCTGACGATATTCAACACATGTTCGTCCTCTTTCAAAAACACTACAGTTCATGTAGATATACCAGGTACTTCAAAACTTATCGCCTCCAGCCACGGTTAACTTAAAATTTTGTCGGATATCTTTCGTATTTAGCCAGCCAACAGAACCGTGAGCATTTTTCGCCACTGACCGAATATTTTAGAAGTTATTGTCTTTGGACAATGCTAAGAAATGATGTTTCTTTGAATGCTCCGACTGCTCACAAAAGTTTTACTTTCAAGGTATGCTTAGGGAAGTGAAAAATTTCCAATCGGAGGCAATTTCTGCACGATCTTTGCAGTTTCATCAGCCAAATTCAAATCACTTATATACATTCTAAATTTTAATATTGTTCTTATCACATTTCCACTTTTACTTGCAACTTGTGCCTTAGTTTATAATTTTTTAATTTATGCACCTTGTAGTTTAATTACCAAATAAAACTGCATTTTTTCAAAGATTTTGACAATTTTTTTCCCAAGTTTGTTGTTAGCTTGTTAACGACATTGTGGTAACTAAAGTTGGTCTTGTGAAATGGTGCTGGGGAAAAAAATTCTTCTTACCATTTCTTACCTCAGACTAAAAGTTTAGTTGTTAATTACAAATGCAAATATCAGGCTAACTACGGATACAACTACATAACTCTTGGGTAAACAAACAAATGGTAATCTAAAACAATTACCTAGGGCTGGCTGGCTGGCTGGATGGGGAAAGATACCCAACTGAGAAGATAGAAGGCAGAAATATCACCTAAAATATATGAGTTTCAGAAATTCTATATTTTTGACATATTTTAGGTTTTCGTCTTCCAGAGGCCATAACTCTCGAAGTAATCAGGGCAATTTAACAGAATATTTTGATTTTGAAAGAGGAACTTCTTGTCGAAAATATTTTCATTAAATGCAAAAATGTAGCTGTCCAAATACCAAAGTTATAGGCAAACATTTATAACTTACCCTTTTTAGTAATTTTGATATATATTTTCCGCAATGCCATACAAAAAGCCATAAGTTCTGACATAGTAGGTGGATTTCCTTAAAATAAGTTGATATTGAAAGGTAGTGAACTTAGCTTAATAGAAGTTCTTGGACCATTTGATGTAGCTGATCAAATTCCAGAGATATCAGCAAAAATATAAACATTTCCAAACTTGTAAATTTTTGAAAGGTTTTAAGTTATCTTATCGTAGAGTTCATAACTTTCGATATAGTTTATGGATCTCAGTAAAATAAGTTATTTTAGAAATAGAAACATCAGTTGCCTAAACTTTGTTCTAATAAAATTAATGTAGATATGCAAAATGCCAGAGATATCGCCTAAAATATATAAGTTTCAGAAATTCTATATTTTTGACATATTTTAGGTTGTCGTCTTCCAGAGGCCACAACTCTCGAAGTAATCAGGGCAATTTACCAGAATATTTTGATTTTGAAAGAAGAACTTCTTGTCGAAAATATTTTCATTAAATGCAAAAATGTAGCTGTCCAAATACCAAAGTTATAGGCAAAAATTTATAACTTACCCTTTTTAGTAATTTTGATATATATTTTCCGCAATTCCATACAAAAAGCCATAAGTTCTGACATAGTAGGTGGATTTCCTTAAAATAAGTTGATATTGAAAGGTAGTGATCTTAGCTTAATAGAAGTTTTTGTATTATTTGATGTAGCTGATCAAATTCCAGAGTTATCGGCAAAATTATAGACATTTCCAAACTTGTAAATGTGTGTCAGATTTTAAGTTATCTAATTGTAAAGGTCATAACTTTTGACTGAGTTGATGGATATCAGGGATTGAAAAAGGATTTTGAAGGAGAACCATGGAGCGGTTAAACTTCTCTTTAGTTGTAGTGGTACAGCTGCCCAAAATACTGGAGATATTGGTCAATAAGTATAACACTCAAATATTAAAAATTTCCAAATAATTCTCTTAATCC